CTGTAGGCCCGGCTTGTCAGGGTTCAGCGGTGGCCGCGTCTCCACGTGCTCGGGGACCAGCTTGCAGCCTGCCCGTGGGATGTCTTCCCAATGGCGCAGCACAGTCAGGGCCAGGTGTTCATCTGTCTGCTTCTTCTGACCTGCATGGGCAAAAGGAGGTTTGCTGAGCTTGGAGAACCGGGCAGAGAGGCACAAGGGACAGCAAACAACCCTGTTCCTCTACCCCTACTCCAAGGGAGCAGAACTGCCTACTAGCTACTCCTCTCCATTTCCTTGTGTACACTTTGTCCTTCAGCCAACACTTCCTAACTCCTCTCTTTCTCCTCTCTCTAACCCTAGTCATTTACAGAAGGTCCAGATCTCCTGCCAGCCTGCGTATTCCCAGGCCGAACAAGCTCTATATCCATTGACCATGTTCTCCTCCTCTTCTGCACCCCTCCTGGCCTGTCTTCATCTTTCTCAGGCACGTGCGAGTGCGTTGGGACACAACCATTGTTTGGGGATGCAGTTACATGGAGAATGGCTTCCTAAACCCTGGAAAGGCCAGGGTGGGCTGTCTTCATTGCTCCTTGAGCATACACTTCCAGGAGGAATGTTTCAAAGGCAGCTTTGGTGATGCTATGTCACAGACACCTATGAGTGATTCTGGGAGCAACCCACTGGCCTGGGTGGTCTATAAGACTGTCTAACTGGTCACATACTGAAAGGGCCATTTAAGGTGGTCGATGGAGAGTAATTGCAGGGCTACTTTGGGGTGATGGGGCCACTACATCTGCCTCCTATCCTGGATGATGAGGGGACACCCCAGAACCCTGCTCCCCTCCACAACCTTCATCCCATGGGGCAGGTACCATTTTCATCCTCAATCTCCGTGGGGCCGGTGAAGACCCTGTTGGCAACTTTCACTCTTCCTCCTGGCCCAAAGTGCGGCCCATCCACCTTGCCCTCTTTGCACAGCTTGGACAGGATTTGGGAGGGCTTCATGGGGTCACGCCAGGTGTTATAACCATGTCTGTGAATAGGAGGGCAAGGTCAGTGAAGTAGCAGCAAGATTTGGAGGAAGAAAAGTGATTTTGTTCCCCTCTGCCAGCAAAACAAATGCTACTGCCATGAAGGACCCAAGATTCACAAGGAAAGGATCTGAGGCAGAAAGTGTGAACCTTCAGAGCAGACCAGGTCCTTCTGTCCCCCGACTCTACACTTTGCTAACACCCTTCCACCCCAGCCCCTTTACTCTGTGCTGACTCAGACCTGATATTCCCAGTGCACTCCGCTTGACTCCTGATGCTCAGCATTGCTCCTTTGGTCCTGCTGTTGTTTCAGCTCTGGCCTCACCCCTTTACCCAGTCCCACCAGTGTCCCTCAGTCCTTTCCTCCCTGCCCTGGGCTCCTTACAACCCACTCCTGCCCTGCTGTGCTGGTCACAAAACCTCTCTTAACAGTGAGCATACAGCACAGACTCCTCCATTAGCAGGCAATAAAGGAGGGAGATTCCTGCAGGAGATCTAGGCTTGGTGTGGAAGATGAGACAGGCATGGGTCCAGGCAGAAGGTTCAGCAGAGAAAGCTTTGCTCATACATGGAGTAAGTCTGTGACACCCCACATGTAGCTCGGTGCTTGCTGTAGTAGCGGTTCTCCAGATCAATCTTGGTCTCTCCAATGAGGTCATCAGTCCCCACCAAGTCCCAGTCGTACACCGCCACCGTTAGCATGGACTCCATGGGGAAGGTGGCCTCAATGTCAAAGGATCTAGGCCAGGGGAAAGCAGGTAGAGGGGAAAGAAAAGATGTTGAAGGGTTTGGCTGCTACTCAAGACAGACACGTGGGGGAGGTGGGTCTGCTCCAGTCTGTGGACAGTGTTTAATTTGCATCTACCACTGTGGGACATTCGAGGTAGGGGTTTTAACTAAATCTCTGCATGGGCTGTTTCAGATCCAGCAGCCCTAGACAGGATGGCACAGGGTGATTGCTTGACCTGAATGTCAATAGCCCCGACACTAAGTTTGTGTGTCACTGGAGATCCAGGTCATACACTCACTGGAGTTCAGATCTAATGATTCCTAAAGCAGCTACTTAATCTTATAGAATCATAGAATTGTTTAGGTTAGAAAAGACCTTTAAGATCACCCAGTCCAACCATTAACCTAACACTGCCAAGTCCACCACTAAACCAATTCAGGGGAGAGGAAGAATTCATTTCATGTTTCCTGGCTTAGTGGCTGCATTACTTTTAACGAAAGTTAATACTAGGAATCATTAAGGTTGGAAAGCACCTCTAAGATCACCAGTTCAACCATCAACCCAACACCCCCATGCCCACTAAACCATGGCCCCAAGTGCCACCTCTGCCCATTTTTTGAACCCCTCCAGGGCTGGGGACTCCCCCACCTCTCTGGGCAGCCTGTTCCAACGCTTGACCACCCTTTCCATGAAGAAATTTCTCCTAATATCCAATCTAAACCTCCCTGGCACAGCTTGAGCCCATTTCCTCTCGTCCTATCGCTTGTTCCTTGGGAGAAGAGACCAACACCCACCTCACTGCACCCTCCTGTCAGGGAGTTGTAGAGAGCAATAAGGTCTCCCCTCAGCCTCCTCTTCTCCAGGCTGAACACCCCCAGCTCCCTCAGCCGCTCCCCATCAGCCCTGTGCTCCAGACCCTTCCCCAGCTCCGTTGCCCTTCTCTGGACATGCTCCAGCACCTTGATCAGATATGGACATCTCTTAAACACCCTTTACTATATTAACCATACCACGGGCAAAGAAGGACAGATGGCTGAAATGAGGATGCCTACACTGCTTGCAAGGAAAGTTCTGGGTGATGAGTCCTGTCTTTTGAGCCCAAGTAGCAGCTGTGGGACGGCTAGGGTGCAGGGTCCAAGGGCTGGAAAGCTTGGCTCAGGCTTAGCTCACCCCTTCCAGGTGCAGACAGGTAACAGGGCTGGGGCAACTCACTTTCCGAAAACAGGGTTCAGCTGCTTGGAGATGTAGTTCTCCTTGTCTTTGATGTCCGTCTTCCCCAGCTTGATGGCAATATAGGGGTCGGCTTTCCCGTTGATGTCAGCTGGGTGAAGGTCTGTGGCCTGTAGAGAACAGATGAGACACATCAGTGCCATTCACAGTAGTGAACAATTCAGGGATGGCCCTGTTCTCCATCCCTGAGACCATCTGGCCTTGCCTGGCCATAGGCATGTAGCTAAGCACTTTGGTCCCCCTAAATACAGTGTCTTGGTTTAAACTGGGGATAAATCCTGCCTTGTGTTAATCGCTGTCCTGGTTTGGGGAGCAACTGGGGCTGGCTGTGTCCACTCAGAGAGATGTAACCACAGTTTCCTTTGGCATCTCTTTCATAAGGGGAAGGAAACAGGCTCCTCTAAAGAAATACCCAGAGCAACAACCTGACCAAGATGTCAAGAAGACTGTCCCCTTCCCCTCTTGTTCTCTCCACTCACTACATCAGGGCCAAGGGTTTCTGGCTTCTCACTATAAAGCAGGTGAGTATCCCCAAACTCTCCAGTCCCAACCTCCATCATGGCACACAACAGCAGATGCCCATGCCAGGACACATCCAGCCAGTGCTGATTGGTGGTGGTGCTGACCAGGCTGGTGTCTACCATTGCAGCCTCAGGCTGTTGGTGATGGCTGGGAGACTTGCTACCCCATTGGTCAATGGGATGCAGCACTAGATGGAGAATTAGGCTAGTGGGAAACGTAGCCAAAAGTAGGTTGCATCTGTAAAACATCGGGACAAGGTGGTGACAAAGAGCAGCCCAGGTGCTTCTAGCAGGACTGAGATCCCTCTCAAGTGCCTGGCTTCAGTACCTCACATGCTTGGGGATACACGGATGACTAGTTTAGGGGTCAGGAAAGGACTTTTTCCAGCATACACTACATATAAAGAAACGTGCATTAGCTCAGCACGTGTTCAAGGAGGTGCCATGCCCTTCAACGAGGTCTGCCAGACCATGCCAGCTCCCGTTCAGCTCTGCATGTGCTTCACTGAGGTGTCATGGCTATGTAAGGAACCAGCACCTCGCAGTCTTGGCTGATCCAAATTATTCAACTTGAGTTAAGCACTAGGACAGACATGCCAGTCCATCCTACATACCAGAAGGTCTCTAGATCTGGCAGGAGCTTGGATCTGGCTTGCTCCCAGTGCTTGGAGCACACAGCTATGGAGACACCATTCAAGTCCCCATCAATGAGTTGTGTCAGTCCTCTAAGCGCTAAAAATCAACATCCCTACACCTTTGGGACCAGCTCCTGGGTGTGTGCCGTGGAAGGGAGCGCATGATCACGCCTTGCCACACCATGCAGTCATACTCACCCGCACAATATAGACTCGGACCAGCACATTGATGGGGTCGTTGCTGGGGATCCCCTGGAACATGCCAAAGTTTGGGTCGTATCCTGCCTCCTTGGTGATATCATCAGGGAGTGGCACTTTGTAGACACACATGGAGCCCTAGTGCAAAGGAGTGCACAGCCTGATGAGAGTCCTGCTGCTCAGGGGCTCAGGGTAAGCAGACCCATCCCAAACCAGCCTCCCTGAGGACCCAGTCAATATCCTTGACAGGCCAGATCTAGAAAATTCCTCGACCATGCAAGCACCTCTTCAGGGGTTGCAACCATGAGCAGAGAAATTGGACAAAGGGAAGGAGGCCTGCAGAGGAATCAAACTAGCAAGGTGCTCATGGACAGGGATTTCCAAGAGTAAAACTGACAGGAGGACAAAGGCAATGGGAATAAAAGGGTTGATGAGGGATGGGCTGGAAGATCTGGGAACTACCTCATGAAACTGCTGATTTCTACGCTCCCTAAGCATCTGATCCTAGCTAAAGTGAGGAACTGCCTGCTCATCTCCTCTGCTAAGCAAATGAAGGGCAAAACTGGCACCAACAGGCTTCATCTGGCCAGGATCCCACCCTCAAGAAGGTTCTTGTCCAAGAATCTTATAGCTGACATGCTCCTACATTGTGTGGGTCCTGCCAATGGTGCAACATGGCCGTGAGCCCAGGTGACTGGTATTGGTGAAAAATGGTTCACAGAGATAACCCAGGGCAAGACTTATTTCCACAGTGGGCAAGAAGGAGGATCTGCTTTTCTCTTGGCCTTCTGTGAGAATCATCAAGGATCTGTTTGCTTGCAGATCACCATTTCTGTGGATGTGCTCTTTGAAGCTATCTGATTTCTGGCGCTATCTGGGGAGGCTTTCTCTTGCTGCAAGGTGCCTGCAGCTGGGCCAATGCAAATTGGTTTCTATTGCATACAAGTCCTTCTTGCTAAACCATCTTCAGCAGAGAAACATGTTGGCAAGGGCTCCCCAAGCTGCCCCTGCCCTGGCCCAACTCAGCAACCAAACTCACTTTGAACCTCCCCACTATCCGTTCCTCTTCTGTTGCATTGTCATCGTTGTCCCCAATCTTCCCACGGAGCAGGTTGAAGGTGTGCAGCCAGTCCTCAAAGTTATCAAACTCTGCTTCCAGCTCTTTGTTGAAGACCTGAGATGACAGAGAGTTAAAGGAGGGGAATTAGGTAAAAAGGAAAAAAAGGTGAGGAAAAGATACGGTGACTACCCAAGTCAACTCAGAGGGAACATGGACACCTCAGCTCCCAGTGCCCAATTCTCCAGGAAGGGAACCTGTATCTCCAGGGTCGTTGAGTTGGACCTTGATGCCACAAACACCTCCCCGAACTGATAACACACAAGAGGGAAGCTCAGCTGAATGGGCGAGGTGGCTGTCCCCACTCTGCACAAGACCCAGGTTCAACCCCCTTCTGAACCCCAGAATCACAGACTGCATTAATCCTAATAAGCACCATGGGCCAGTACGTTGAACCAGAGCCCATCCCTGCCCTGAGTCCTGGCTGGGCCAGCCATAGCCAGGCTGGAGAACTCTCTCCTCCAGCCTGGGCACATCCGAGCTGCCCCAAGGATGATCCTATCCCAGGGCAACCCCTTTTCTGTAAAGCTTGTTACCTCTGACTCCTTCAAACTACGGAGAGAAGCTGGCAGTCCCAAGGCACATCTCACCTAGGGTTAGATACCCCCAGATAGGCAAGGTGCCTCATGCAGGGTTGAGCCATCCTGCTCTGATCTCCAGGTGGCTGGGACTGCCATCCTGCCAGAATTCCAGCCTGCCACTGAGCAGGCAGGGTCTCCTCCTCCCCTGCCAACACACGCACCTTCAGTTCGTCAATCTTCTGCTTGTTCTTCTTCTCAGCAGGCTCAGGGGCTGACTGTTGCTTCTTTTTCTTATCGTCTTTGGGTGCCTTGGACTTCTCCTTGTTCTTCGCCTGACCCTTGGAGCCTTTCATGGGAGAGTCATCAAGTTTAATTTCTGAGTCCGAGGGGAAGTGGTGGGGAGGGAGGAGATGGAAATGAGGGTGAGGAAGGGTGGGGGAGACAGGGAGGGAGGGGACTTGATCAAAGTCCTTCAAACAGGAGGAGCATGAAAGCTGACAGCTGCTACTGCCTGCAACTCCCATCCCAGCACTCTCCTGTCTTTCCTTGACTCTGGCCACTGCTGCCCAGGTCACAGCATCTCCAGGAGCCCAGAGGTCTCTGTGCAGGGAGCTTCCAAAGCTGACCTGAGCAGAAGTCATTTAGAGGACTACAAAACATGGACTGAGAGTACTAGTCTCTGGCCAGCTTCAACAGCAGTGAGAAGACCTGATCCTGCCCACAGTATCTCTTTTTCTTCCTTTTACTGGATTTTCCTGCTGATATGCAGCCTGGAGAATAAACCCCCAGCCTAGGTATCAGAGAGGGGACAGTGCTTGATGCTCAGCACCAGAGCACAGGCTGCTGCCCTTAAAGAGGTGTTGCTCATGAGCAGCTGCACTGACAGGTTCTTTGGGTCTCCATTCAGAGTAACCACCAGCCAGGGACATCAACTACATGAGGAACAGGCTGCCTGGAAAGGCACGTTTAAGCTGCGCCAGAGGAGGTTTAGGTTGGAAATTAGGAAAAAATTTCTTTACGGAAAGGGTGGTCAAGAATTGGAACAGGCTGCCCAGAGAGGTGGGGGAGTCACCATCCCTGGAAGTGTTCAAAAAACGGGTAGATGTGGCACTTGGGGACATGGTTTAGTCTAGTCTACCCTTGATTGGCTTAGAGTAGACTTGGTAGTGTAGGTTAATGGTTGGACTGGCTGATCTTAAAGGTCTTTTCCAACCTCAACGATTCTATGAAAGAACCCTTCTCCCACCCCTCTACAATCCCCATCCCTCACTGCCTCTGCCAGTTTTCATGACTGCTGGGCAATGCAGGTGGGGACAGACAGATGACAACAAAGACTTAATGTGGAAGAGGAAAGGAGGGAGGAATGGGAGTGCCAAGGGGAAATGGACCCTTCGCAGAAGACAAAAAGAAAACAATGGGGACACACACACACAAGACACCCCCCAGCAGCCCTGCCATGACAGCAAGCCCAGGAAGAAGCTGCTCAGAGTTGTGTCCAAGCTCAGCAAGACCCGGCCTCATCTTTCTCATCGTATGAAGACTAGTCTTCCAAAAGAAATCAGGCCCCGTATTTTTCTCAGCTAATGGGGAGACCTTATCGCTCTCTACAACTGCCTGAAAGGAGGTTGTAGTGAGGTGGGGTCTGTCTGTTCTCCCAAGGAACAAGCGATAGGACAAGAGGAAATGGCCTCAAGCTGTGTCAAGGGAGGTTTAGGTTGGATAGTAGGAAAAATTTCTTTACTAAAAGAGTGGTCAAGCATTGGAACAGGCTGCCCAGAGAGGTGGGGGAGTCCCAGTCCCTGGAGGCATTCAAAAAACGGGCAGAGGTGGCACTTGGGGACATGGTTTAGTGGGTATGGGGGTGTTGGGTTGATGGTTGGGCTGATGATCTTGGAGGGCCTTTCCAACCTCAGTGATTCCTGGTTTTACTTTCATGAAAAAATAATGCAGCCACCAAGCCAGGAAACATGAAATTCTTCCTCTCCCCTGAATTGGTTTAGTGTTGGACTTGGTAGTGTTAGGTTAATGGTTGGACTGGATAATCTGAAAGATCTTTTCCAACCTAAATGATTTGATGATTCTATGATTTTACATTTGCCCAGGCATGACAGCAACCCACTGTCATGGGGATGCAGGACATATGAAGAGTGTGAGTGAAAGTCCTCAGGAAAACCCCTCCAAGCCCTGCTGGTGGGACTGACAAGGAACCTCCAGACTGCAATTGGACAAAGTCACCCTTGACCAACATGTCCCAACTCACCAGTGTTCTTGGCCCACATCACTTGTGGTACAAAATTCATCTCACCCAACTTTAGACATCTGCAACACTCCATCTGAGCTACAGACCCCCTGACCTCCTTCAGAGCAAAGCACATTTAAGGGCACAATTCATCTGATCATAACATAGCATTGAAAATAGGTCAGAGAACTTGCCCTGAAAGTATGTATTTTTCTTCCACTGCCTGTGCTAGAACAGCAGCAAGGAGGCCTCTACAGGTAGGTAAAAGCACTCAGATTAGATGAATCCCAGATCTTTTGTCTGGTTGAATCTTCCCTTGTAAAACTGGAGCAAAATTTTAAAAAGAAAATTTAAGCCTCCTGCAAAATGACAATGGAAAACCCCATGAAGGTGGTTTAGAAGTACCTATTACTTGGCGTGTTCAACAGACTTCAAGTACACTGTCCTATAACTAACACATCTGCACGGCCAAAGTGACGGGACTTTTAATGACATACTAAATGACATACTAACTCATCATTGCACAAAAATGTCCTCAGACAACATGGATCCCGGTCACTAGCCTGCATTACTTGCACATGGCCTTCCTCCCAGCACGGATGGGTTGGAGGCTGCCACAATACCATGTTCTGATTTGGATTCACCTGGCATTAGCATGTTAGCCAAACACAGCCCACACCAGGCTTGCATTCACAAAAAGTGATCCTGCACGGGGATGTACAACATGCTGTGAGCATCTGGTTTTGCAGAAGAGCAATGGCATGCTCCAAAAGGGGTGTTCAAGCACCAAAAGGAGTCCCGGTCCTACCTTTCCCTGCCATGCTCCCCCTGCTTACCCTCTGCAATCTCCATTTCTTCCTTCTCCTCCGCTTCTGCTGCGGCTGCTTCCTGCTGCCGGAGTTGCTGGGGAAGAAATGAGGTGAACAGGGAGTGGGTGCTTGTGCCAAGGTCTCTGTGCTCGCTGGAAATGCCTAGCCCAGGGTCACGGCTCGCTCTTCCCATCTGAGCTGTGAGCGAGGTTCTGGCAGTGCTGGAGAAATCGAAGTTGCTCAGTGCAGCCTTGAGCACTGATGCTGTTAAATACCTGTGTCTGAACACAAACCAGTTCACCCAGAGTGCACCCAAGGAAGAGGAATCCTGCTCAGCTCTGCCAGATAAAAAAGAGCCTTGCTGATGGTCAGGGAGGTTAGCAAGGGAAGCAGCACGGCCCCAAGCCTTTGGAAGTAGCAGGAAATAAGTGAGACCTCGCAAGCAGGAAACGTTTTCTTCTTCCCCCCTACATACACCCCTCCTCTGCTCTGCACCCACCTCCTTCATGGTCTCAATTGAAGCGAAATACTTGGACCACCAGTCCAGCATGCTCTCGTCTGGCTCCTCCTCTTCCACTTCTTCTCCTCCTCCACCTTTCTTCTTCTTTTTCTTTTTCTCCTTCTCTTCCTCAGACTTCAGGGACAAGGGAAGTAACGACAGAGAAGAAGAGGGATCAGATGGAAGTGAAACGTCTCTTGAAGTGCAAAGGTGGTGGGCGAAGCGCCTGAGAAGGCAGAACCCTCCTGGCTGGGTGGCCTCCTTAGAACTTTCCCCCTTCTACAGCCGCAGACACTGAGGCACAGAGCAGCAGAGCAAGACGCCCAAGGCCCCACAGAGACACAGTGTCCCAAGACATCCCCTCCTGACCATCATCCCTTTCATCCGTGCATTTCCCACACTACAGCACCTGAATCTTACACGGTAGCAATCCTCCCTCTGCCCGGCAAAGTGCCCTGGGTCCACCTAGTGCTGCAATAAAGCCTTTTGCAGCCGGTACCTGGTTGTGGTGGGAATAACCAGCATCTCTCCCACAGGGTGCTGCCTGCCCTGCTCCTCCTGGCACAGCCAGGCTGAGAAGCGCTGGCCCAGAAGAGCTTCCCAATCTGCAAGGACCAGGCCACTGCCATATCTATTGATGAGACAACTCTGCTCTGTCTCTGCCTTGGGACGAAGGGACGCTGGTACCCGCCTGTCTTGGGGTTGGGGAGGATGTGTGGTCTGTTGAAAGCCACGCAGAAGGGTTGGACAGGGAGTGGAAGGCTGGGAGCAGGGATGCAGAGCAGATCCGTCACTTACCACATCCACCTTCACCACTGCGTCGGAGTTCTGTCACCCGGGATGGAAGGGCACAGGGAGAGGGAGAGCAGGTTAGCAGCACAGCCTCAGCCGAGTACAAATACACACTGGCACAAGCATGCACTAGAAGTCACAGACAGCTCCCCAAGGATGAACCATAGAATCATAGAATCGTTTAGGTTGGAAAAGATCTTTAAGATCATCCAGTCCACATTAACCTAACACTACCAACTCCACCACTAAACCAGTTCAGGGGAGAGTAGCAATTTCATGTTTCCTGACTTGGTGGCTGGATTAGTTTTTAATGAAAGTAAAGCCAGGAATCACTGAGGTTGGAAAGGATCGCTAAGACCATCAGCCCAACCATCAACCCAACACCCCCATGTCCACTAAACCATGGCCCCAAGTGCCACCTCTGCCCATTTTTTGAACCCCGCCAGGGCTGGGGACTCCCCCACCTCTCTGGGCAGCCTGTTCCAATGCTTGACCACTCTTTACGTGAAGACGTTTCTCCCAATATCCAATCTAAACCTCCCCTGATGCAACTTGAGGCCATTTCCTCTCTTCCTATCGCTTGTTCCTTGGGAGAAGAGACCCAACACCCACCTCACTGCAACCTTCTTTCAGGTAGCTGTAGAGCACGATAAGGTCGAAGAAGAAACTGAATGCCTTGAATGAAGAGCCCTGGCTGGGAAAGCTCTCCATACAGGGGAGATGTCTGCTGTGACACACACCCCGAATCCATCTCCACATGGGAGATATCTCTCTTGCACTCTGCTAAGGGAGACCCCCAGTCCCTGACAGTGTGGGATTGGGTCTGGAAAGACACTTTGGCCTTGTGGATCACACCTCTCTGCTCTCTTGGAGCTTTTCTTGTCTATCTAGGAAGGTCTGCAACCTACTGTGGTAGATTTCAAGAAGCATGTGGGTGCTGGCATGTTCCAGACATTACCCATGCACGCATATCCTTTAGCTCCTATTGCATGAAGCTGTGTGAGCAGACATACATGATAGAGCTTCTTGTGCACACAGGAGGAACTCTACAGATAAGTGCATGTGTAAATGCACCAGGGACCTTGTGGGGGGTGTGTGTATGTATCTGTACATGTGCTTGCGAGGCTTTGTATGCACCATAGCCTTTCTGTAAATGCGCACGTGAGGGGTGATGCATATGCATTCAGTCTGGAGAAGAGGAGGCTGAGGGGAGACCTGATCACTCTCCACAGCTGCCTGACAGGAGGGGGTAGGAAGGTGGGTGCTGGTCTCTTCTCCCAAGGAACAAGCGATAGGACGAGAGGAAATGGGCTCAAGCTGTGTCAAGGGAGGTTTAGATTGGATATTGGGAGAAATTTCTTTACTGGAAGAGTGGTCAAGCATTGGAACAGGCTGCCCAGAGAGGTGGGGGAGTCCCAGTCCCTGGAGGCGTTCAAAAAACGGGCAGAGGTGGCACTTGGGGACATGGTTTAGTGGACATGGGGGTGTTGGGTTGATGGTTGAACTGGTGATCTTAGAGGTGCTTTCCAACCTTAGTGATTCCTGTTTTTACTTTCATGAAAAAATAATGCAGCCACCAAGCCAGAAAACATGAAATGAATTCTTCCTCTCCCCTGAATTGGTTTAGTGGTGGAGTCGGTAGTGTTAGGTTAATGGTTGGACTGGGTGCTCTTCAAGGTCTTTTCCAACCTAAACGATTCCATGATTCTATTCTATGATATTTGGAGCCCACAACATGCCTGTAGGCACATGTATGCACATGTGCTGCTT